TCTCTTTCCGTCTGTCTGCCACTCTGCTTCGCTGCCTCTCTGTCTCTCTGCCTCTCTGTTCTCTTTCCGTCTGTCTGCCACTCTGCTTCGCTGCCTCTCTGTCTCTCTGCCTCTCTGTTCTCTTTCCGTCTGTCTGCCACTCTGCTTCGCTGCCTCTCTGTCTCTCTGCCTCTCTGTTCTCTTTCCGTCTGTCTGCCACTCTGCTTCGCTGCCTCTCTGTCTCTCTGCCTCTCTGTTCTCTTTCCGTCTGTCTGCCACTCTGCTTCGCTGCCTCTCTGTCTCTCTGCCTCTCTGTTCTCTTTCCGTCTGTCTGCCACTCTGCTTCGCTGCCTCTCTGTCTCTCTGCCTCTCTGTTCTCTTTCCGTCTGTCTGCCACTCTGCTTCGCTGCCTCTCTGTCTCTCTGCCTCTCTGTTCTCTTTCCGTCTGTATCTCTGACTCTCTTTCTGTCTGTATCTCTGACTCCCTTTCCGTCTGTATCTCTGACTCTCGTTCCGTCTGTCCGTCTTTCTGCCACTCTGCTGCTGCTTTGGTGGATATCTTAATCCTCTGTCCGCCGTCTGTCTCTGTGTGTTATGCTTGTTTGCTTCCAGGCTACACGATCGTACTTGGGACTTTGATCGTATCTCTGACAGGTCAGGCAGTATCTAGTGAAACTGATGATACCAGGAGTCCATAACCCCAAGAGTGTGCACCTCTGTACATGGGGATCCGCGCGGCGGCATTCCAACATTACGTCAAAAATGACGTACATGTTCATTGCGCTTGTACTACTCCCTGGTTCCAAGCGCCGCGGAATGCGGAGTTTTGTACAGCTGTGCCTCAGCGGCATGACGTAATGTTGGAATTCCGCTGCGCAGTGGGCCTGCAGCAGTCAGACCCCAGTTGCACACTCTTGGGGTTATGGACTCTTGATGATACTGTAGCGGTAGATACCTTTTTTTCGTTATCTACCGTAGAGATTTTTGCTGTGAGGAAAAGTAACTTTTTTGACGGGATGTCAGTTGCGTAAAACTTTGTTTTTGATGAGATCGAGTGCCGGTTTTGTCGTCTTTATGGTCACCAACTATCTCTTGTCCGTTTGTGCGTCTGTCTGTCCGTCTGTCCATCGGTATGTACGTCTGTCTGCAGGCCATCGTACGGTAGTTTTGAGGAGGAGAAGGCAGCGCGCACCAAGCACCAAGACGCCATCAACTCAGAGATCCAAGAAGGTACTGTTACACCTGCCTACGGCAACCACTGTTCACTGGGCCTTTTTTCAAACGAATGACACACAATCCCCACACTCAGACTTATAGAGAAAAAGCACACGGACAGATAAGGAAGAACAGTGACGAACGGCTACCTGTAGGGCCAGCTAGACTAGCAGCAGTGCAGGTTGGGCGTAGTAGGTTCCCTCGGCCACTGGTCTTGGGTTCCTGGCCGTACGACTACTACTACACACACACCAAAGAGGTTCCCTCGACCACTGGCCTCGGGTTCCTTCACAGGCGTGGTCCCCGTGTGTACCAGGCTTTCTCTCACCCAGGGGGATTTGACTGGCAATAAACGCCCCTTGGTCCTATTTGTAGTGGTCCTGTGGGACAGGTGGTCGCCTTATCAGAGTTGCCGCCTTGACAGGTGTTGCTTTATCAGACATGTGTGACTACTTCAGAGTAGACCTGGGAGGGTTGCACAGGAGTACATTTAAAGTAGGGCTGAAACGATTAGACCGAATAATCGAGTACTCGTTTGATAACTCTAACGATCGAGCAATCGTTTAGATTACCGATTACGATCATTTTGCGTCTTTTTAATTTTTAATTTCTTATACGCGCAGTGCATGCAGCGCAGAGTATATAGTACTACACACTGTACGCGCTGCGTCGCAGCCGCTCAGGACGTAGTACGCGCAGTGCATGCAGCGCGAGTTCAAACATCGAGTAGCGTCCTAGTGTAGTACAACGAAGCTGGAGCATGAAGCTCGAAGGTCAAGGTCGCGTCCGGTCTACATACATAATAGCTAGTTGTTGTCTGTAAGGCTGCCCATTAGTGGACAATCATGCCACATAGCATTGTTGTGCAAAATTTTGCACATATTTCCACTTTTGGCCATTCCACGTACATATTCCAGGTGCGGTCTCTTAAAGATTATAATCGAATAATCGATCGTTATGATAAAGAGTAATCGATTGGGCTAAATGGATGATCGTTTCAGCCCTAATTTAAAGTTTAGCAATGAACCCTTTGCTGACCTGCTGGTGTCTGCAAAGCATATTCGACGGAAACGTTTTCTGAGTTAGGCCGCGGTCACACATGCACTTTTTTGGCGGAAAGTTTGGATTTCGCTACGCCAAAAAAATGCGAGCGAAACCTCCGCTTTGACGGAACCTGCATGGTGATGGCTTTGGAGTTTGGTGTGCTACTTCTGCACTGAGTTCTGGTGTTGTTTGGTTGCCATTTGGTATTCAGTTTTCATATTGTTCTTCTTTGCCAATGAACTGTACGTTCTGGAGATCTCGCAAACGATACTGCATCGTTATGAGTAGATAGTTGGTGAGGGAATCCGTCTCCCAACTCATTGGCCCCGATCGCGGACAATCTCCAACTCTCTCCTTCTCTCTCCAAGCAATGTGTCCACGAGTATGCAACACTAGGACTGCAACCAGGGAATAGTACTAGTAGTAGAGTACTCTGCCACACCCTCACTGCAACTGCAGGAATCCACGCAGTGGCTGGGGTCGATGATGGATCATGGAGGAGGCAACGACACCCATGCTATACAAATATTTGAATTTGATGTTGATGTAAACTAAACTAATATTCAAATACACCCGTACTGGGCCGCCAGTGAATGTGCCCCAAATCCACGAGTGTACTTGACAGGAGACATTCAGCAGCCTGTCAGCGATCCACGATAGCTCTACTTGTACAAGCGAAGGTCGCTAGTTCTTCAACTCGGACAATAATAACATCTAAAATTTCATAGGACGTGCTGCATTTGCATTCCCTCCGCCAAAGCGGAGCGTTGAGGAACACAGTAGTCTACATGTATGTGTGACCGCTGCATCGTGTGTTCCGCCAAAGCGGCTGTGGTAGCTACGCTTTTCGCCTCCGCAAAAGCGGTGCAGAGGTTTCATGTGTGTCCGCGGCCTAAGGCGGCAATGCCTAGTTCTTGTTGTGTTTTGTTGATTGTGGACTCGGATGGAGAGCCAAGGATTAATTTATAGAAAAGAAAAAAGGACCAAGGAACTACAAGTTCCAAGTTAAGTTAGTTGTGGAACGTCAGTACCGTCGGTCAGTGTTGTGCAATGTTATCGCATGAGCTGATTGTTTAGTAAATGGTGGTGTTAGTGGACATTATAGCGTGACTTGTAGTTTCTTGGTCCTTTCTCTTTTATTGATTATGGCTGGTATAAGCATACACAAGTGTCCTGGAAAATGTGTGTTTCTCCGCTTGGGAAGTCCGTCAATGGAATTGTAATTTTTTGATTTTTCGTCTTCTTCCCATGCGCCTTTCTTAGCTTGCTTCCTGCTGCTGGCGAATTTGTTTGCGTGAGTACTGCTTGCTGATGTGCTTCATTGTTGTTAAGGCTACATTTGTAGGTGATGTGTGTGTACAGATGGATGAGATTTTTTTTAATATGGACGGTTCTGTTTGCCCTGGTCTCTCCTTCCCGGTGCCGCATGGCTCTGCCTGGTCCCGCTTGGTCCTGCCCAGCTCTGTTCTGCCCTGCCTGGTTCCACTCTGTCCTACTCTGCTTTGCATGGTCCTACCCGACCTGTTCAGCCCGGACCGTTCCCACTATGTCCTGCCCGGTCCTGTTCTGCCCTGCCCTGTACTACCCTGTCTTGCATGGTCCTGCCTTGCCCTGCCCGGTCCTTTTCTGCCCTGCCCTGTCCTGCTCTCTTCTGCCCTCTTCTGTCCCATCCACTCTGGTGTGTTGCCTTGTGTTCTTCCCTTGCACTGCCCCCCTGGTCCCTAGGTCTATGGATGACTTTGTCACGTCCGATGGCAAGCGCTTACAGGTACGTGAGGTACAGGTGCAGAGTGATCTAATAGGCTATTCAGACTACGGCCATAGTGACGTTCAGACGTGGCTACCCATGGAAATCTGGCCGCGGGGCGGAGTTTTAATCGCGAACTTGACAACCGTGCCTGTGAACAGAAACCTGGCGTTTGGGCATAGATCCACGTGTGTGTGACGCGCCAGGGTCGGGGGCGAGAAGTTGTCGTGTTTGAAGTCTTTTCTTAGCCTTTCCTTTGCCGTTTGCGTTGTTTTTCATTGTTGTTCATCATTTGCGCTCAGTATGGGTCGCACCCTTTTTCCAGTGAAGCAGAGCAGAAATTTATTGAGTTGTGGGGCGAGCTGTTGTTCACTGCAGACAAACAGATGCTATCGAGAAGCTCCAAAGTGTCCGTTATTACTTTGAAGCCGAACCGTTACATGCAGACAGAGCTCGGTCTCTCCGTACAGTATTCAGAGAAGGAAGTTAACAACAAGGTGGATTCAACACGGAAGAAGGGCCGGGAGTTGTACTCGAAATTTCACGAGCGCAGTACGGGCAATACTGTTGACGAATTGGACTGTGATTTGGAGGCAGCATACTCTGCTGAACTGCAATGACACACTCAGCCACCGTAGGCAACAGATCCACATTGCTCGATGCATTTTTTGCGTGTACAAAGCCGCTCAATAGATCTCTCACCGGCCTGGCTGGAATCAGGGGTGCAACATGAGGGTTGACTTCACAGCGGCCAGCGTTGGCATCGTTGCCAAGGCATGATGGCCGCTCACAGATGTTATGGAGCATACAGGCGACTGTGGCGACATCTGCTGCAAATGTAGGATCATGTATTAAGTTAAGAGAAAGGACCAATAAGTTTTGTGCCGTGTTGTCGCACTATCTGGCTGTATAAGATCCGAGTTTAAATAAGCACATATAAAGTTCCGAATCAATATTGTCCAACGGCCCTTCAGGCGGCCAATTGCATTTCCGACAACTCTTCTGGTTCTGATGACGCAGTAGTTGAAATCATGCATCACATCCGTCTGGTCACCGGGGGCACCAGCGAAACACTTCATTGCATGCGGTGTAGTGTAGTGGCAGGTGGTCCTTAGTTAGAGGTTTGCACCACACCATTATATGAATGTGAGACCGTCCGTGCCTAGCAATGTGGTCTGTAGTACCAGGCTGGTCGCTAGTCACAGTGGTCTTTAGTTACAGGTTTTATTGTATTTGCAACAGCCGTGAATGCGGCCATGGTATGGGTCAGGGAGCAGAATTTGGCAAGTGTGAACGGGCACCGTCACCATAGTCAGCCGTAGCCATGTCAAACGTGACCATGGCTGGCCGTAGTCTGAATAGCCTATTAGGCCTATCAGGTCTAGGAGAGCCTCTCGAGATGCAGTGTTTCAATGCCTAGCAGCAATGTAGAGTAAAACCTGTGACTAACGACCATCCCTAGGCCCTTGGGGCCAGAGTAAGCGGTCTTTAGTGGCAGGTGGTCCTTAGTTAGAGGTTTGCACCACACAACCATAATTATATGAATGTGAGACCGTCCGTGCCTGGCGAAGTGGTCTGTAGTACCAGACTGGTCGCTAGTCTGCACGGCGGTCTTTAGTTACAGGTTTTACTGTATCTGGAAATCCACTTAGATTTCCATGGCTCTAGTTGTCAACTTTCCACTTTGCCTTTGTTGCTTCCACTTTTGAAAATGTCTTGTTCGTCTTGCTTTAACTCGGATACTGAGCCAACAAGAAATTGAAAATTGTTTGTCTTGTTTCGAAGTTGATTGTCGTGTATCAATGTATGTATAACGCAAGTACCGTAAAGTACCGCCAGAGCGCCCCACCATCTTGTCCTTTCCTGGTCATCTTGTGGAGGTGATCTCCTGTCTGCAGGTCATACGACACGGACCTTGTACACACATTGCACGTTGTGCAGTCATATCCGTACCCAGTTTACCTTCGATCGTATGCCAGCTCCGTATAAAAAACATACCATGTGTACACTAAGGTTGCCACACCGTACAAACATAGTAGCATTCTGCCATACGATTTTCTTCCCTTGACTGTAAAATCAAGGTGGGGCGCTCTCGCTAGACAGGGCGCTCTGGTGGTACTTTACGGTAATGTAGAAGCAGCAAATTCCACAATCGAACTGTCCACATTCCCAAGACAGCCCTAGACAGCACCACCACCAATGGATGATGAATGTTGCATACCGGTAGTATTTTTTTGCTGTCTGGGCTTCAATGCCTCTGTGTGTGTGTGTGCGTGCGTGCGTGCGTGCATTCATGCGTGTCTGCATCCACTGTACAACAGTTCAATAAAGCCCAGTTCATCAAGAAGATCCCCGATCACGAGCAGCCCTTCTATCGCCAGGTATGTACTGTGTCGTGATCATACGTTTTGTCTCCAGTTCTAAGGGGGGTCTCACAGAGATAGTCATCTACGAGTAGTACTGTAAAAGCAGAAATTTTCAGTATTCTCCAAAATCGGCGGTTCAGTGGACGGACATTTTTCGGTAAAATCCGTTTTCCAGGTAAGTGTACTAGTACTAAATGTATACAGTACCGGTAGTACCGAAATTTTGGGTGCGTTTTATTTTCGGTAAAAATTGTCGGCACCGAAGTTACCGAAAATAAAACACGACCGAAAATTTCTGCTTTTACAGTGTGTAGCATGGTCTCGTATTAGAGTGTTTGAGCTTCAATTCTGCCAAAACTGGGATTTCAAAATCCAGTGGGACTGCAATCCATCCAGTTAGAAAATAGAACAGTTCATTAATTTTTGCCTCAAGCTCTTCATAGAACCCAAGCTTGTCAAAATCATAGCAAGGATGCCAGAATTACTGTGACATGAACATATTGTTCTTGTCAGCTTGTCCAAGGGGTGTTCATTTCTTACGGTTGAATTTCACTAGAATAGTCCCCTTGTCACATTTGTGCTCCCGAGTACGAAGTTACCTTCCAGATGAAAGTTGTACATGTATAGTATTATGTGTTTCATTGTCCATCGCTTCCCGCCATATTGGTTTTCTCTTTGTCTATCACATCATGTTCTTACATATCCTACAAACATATCCTATAAGGCTGTTATAAATGTTGATTCATCTAGCACTGTTCCTGTGTGTGTGCGTGTGCGTGTGTATCTGTGTGTCTGTGTCTGTTTGTGTGTGTACATGTGTGCATGTGTGTGACAGGTTTGCAACTCGACAATGTTCAGCTTCTTCCAGGAAGATCGCACTCAGGGTCGCAGTGACTACTTCTGGAAGAATATACCAAGCTGGCGCAGGTTAGTTAGCCTGCTCTCAAGCCTACTCTACAGTTGTGTCTGCTATGAGTACACATCCAATGTTGCACAGGGGGTCAACCTTGATGGACAGGCTGTTCACGTTTTAGTGTACTTTGAAGTAGAAAGACCACCTGTCCATTAAGATAGGTCTTAACTCCGGTCTTGCTGCTTGACTGTGTTGTTGGTGTTCTCTTTCTGCTGTGCTACATGGTGACGTCGTCT